AAAATTCAAATAGATAAATGATCAGAATACTTGTAAGAGTATGTACCAAGATCGAAAGTGATGGCAAACTAATTGTGGCTGACATCTTACTATGTCCTATATTCAAAAATAAGCTTTGTCGTTATTTAAGTGAAAATAGCTAACTCGCGATAACAAGCAAGAACTCACGTTGGTGTAGCGAAGTTCGGGTTGGAAGCATAGCCACGTGTAACCGCGATAAAGTGGAAACCTTACTCAAGTACTTCAAAAGCGTGTATAGGTCATCAGTGAGCTTCGATAATCCGAGTTTAGTAAGTTTAACCAATGCGTCAGAGTTCGCCGTGAAGCAGATGTGCATAGAGAAGTCCAGACAATAAAAAACAGCAAGTCAACAGGTCCGGATGGAACCCATCCAGTCATGGTGCAAGGGGTGCTAGCCGGGCCGCTGGCCGTACTTCTGAGAGAATCATTGCAACTGCTTTGCTACCCAAGGACTGGCGTACAGCTACCGTAGTAGCATTGCACAAGGCTGAACCGAAACACAAAGCAGAAAACTATAGACCCGTTAGCCTAACATCAGTGCTGTTTAAGTGGATCAGAAGGCAGGTTCGCCTACATTTGACTAGCAATTGACTTCTGACATCGGCACAACATGGCTTTGTGCAACTCAAATAGTGTTCAAGTCAAGTCAAGTCAGTAGTAGCTTTATGCAACCGGATGGGTGTATTTTCAGCAATTACACCACATTTGTAGATTCAAATTTACAAAATCATTACATAATGAAACTGAGAACAATGAGGTGTTTCTCAATGAAGCAAGCGGTTGCGCAATTCTGTGGAAATTGTGTCCTTGTCTATAAGTAGACATGCTAGATATGGTAGAACAGAATTGCGATAAGCACAGGTACGTGCAAATAAAAGTTTAAATCTTTAGCGTGTGGATGATGCAGATACAGATTTTGTTTTGCAAATCTGCTTGTATTTCTATACGAAGTCACTCGGTGAATGAATGAGGAGAAAAATACAGAAGTCTGCTACTTAGACTTCTGTAAAGCATTTGACTCCGTCAGCCATCGATTGTTGGGCTTAAAAGTTCAGAGCTTAGGCATAGTAGGCAGAGTAAGCGATTGGATTGTAGTCTTTTTAAACAATCACACCTTCAGGGTTAAGGAAAGTGACCACATTTCTAGCCACGAGATGTTTACAAGTGCGATTCGCCAAGGCTCAGTGCTAGGCCCACTGATTTCCATTATATTTATTGACCATCTGGCACAAGATCTTCAAAATCCGTGCTTCATGTTCACTGATGATGTGAAAATGACAGGGTTAAAACAACAAAGGGACTTATCATTAGTCCAACGATGACAGGTCCAATAGGCCTACCTTCGAATCTAAGCAAGAGCCGGATCATAGCAACGAGCGGTGGAATATACTCGTTAAATGGAACTCCCATGCAAGGGATTCCGTAGATGAAGAATCTCGAGGTTCTTATGACCCAAAACTTCAAACCCATAACTCAGTGCTCAAAGGCTGCCAACCAAGTTAGGGGGCATCTGTCCAGGTTGTGCCCCAGTGACATGCAGACGGCCTTAAATTTTCGTCCCGCTGTATAAATCAATTGTTTGCCCACACATGGGATATTGTGTGCAGGCATGGGTACCGTATTATATGAGGGATGCAACATGTTTAGAAAGAGTGCAACGCCTAGTTACCCGAATGATGACTGGACAAAAGAGGAAAAGCTATGAGCAGCGGTTAAGAGATCTTAATGTCTTTTCGCTAGAGCGTAGACGATTGGGGAGAGATCTGATAGA